GCAGGCCTGGGCTGGATTCAAACCCACCACCTTAGGTGTCTGTGGCTGGTGCCTTAGCCATCTGAACCATAGGTGCCGAGTCAACGAAAAGTTTCTATCACATTACTAAGATTACCAGCATTGTTGTATTTTAAACAGTTTTCTTTGGTTCTCCTTCAATTTCAGCATTTCATGACATTAGAAATGGCCCAACCAGAGGAGATACTTATAAAATGCTATCTGAAGGGTAACAAAAACCCAAACTCAAAATACATCTTACACCAGCCGAAAGATAATTAAATTCCCACTATTAAAGAACTTAGCACTATCACAGAATACAAAGTCATTAAACAAGGGTCAATTGTTTTTCTATATGCTAGCACCAACAATGGGAAAAAGAAATTTTAAAAACTACCACTTCCAAGAGCATCTAAAAAAATTAAAATATTTACGAATAAATTAAAGATATATAAGATATCTACACTAAGAATTCTTTCCTAAAAACATGAAAAGTTATACCATCTCCATGTGTCAAAAGACTTGATTTTAATATGACAACTGTTTCCAAACTACTCTATACATGTAATTTAATCCTTATCAAAACCAAAACAGATATTTTTTGGAAATTGATAGGCAGAATATAAAATTTATAAGGTAATGCAAAAGACCCACAATAACCAAAATGATATTGAAAAATAACCAATTTAGATAACCTACACTATTCCACCTCGAGACTTAGTAAACAGCTGTAATAACCAAGAAGTAGTAATTTTAGTGAAAGCATAGATCACTAGAACAGAATAGAGAGTCCATAAAGAGTTCTACACATTAGGGTCATACAATTTTAGATACAGGAACCAAAGCAATGCAGCAGGGAAAGTAAAGTCTTTTTACTAAATAGTGTTGAGGCTAGTTATATGGCTCATACTTATGATCCTAGTACTTTGGGAGGCTGAAGCAGGAGGACTGATTGAGATGAAGAATTTGAGATACCCTGAGCAATCTCAATCTCTGATAGTGAGACCTTTTCTCTACAAAAAATAGGAAAATTAGCTGGATTTAGTGATATGCGCCTATACTCCCAGCTACTTGGGAGACTAAAGCAGG